CATTTCGCTTTGGCCTCGTCATCCCAAAACGTCGCGACTACCAAAGTGACGCGCCACTTGTGATTAATTGGCCGTACAGACATGTAACATGTGAACTGGTGTGATCGTGTGAAAAAGTTCGAGATTTGCCCAAGTTTGTGAGAAGGATTGGAGGGGAGCGAGATTGCAGTTGATTGTGGAGTAAAGCCCAACAGATTTTACTTATCTCTGCCGTCTACACAGTCTTCTCTTCTGGGCTGGACTGCATTCTCGACCTCGCATGGGTCTCAACAGCATCGCCAACATGAAGTGAAACAGAATCTTAAGCACCGTGGCAACTGTACTGACAGTCGCACTAAAAATTGGGGTTTGGCCCAGGCTAAGCGCCTCTTGTGACTCACTGACACCCGTGCCTGCTTAGCGGATTGGCCACGCGTCGCCAAGACGCTCAGGATCCGGCTTCGAATCCCGCTTGGGGGCGGATTGGACCCGGGTTAGGTAGAAACTGAAGTCCAGTCGGAATGAAAAAAACTTTTTGGCTGGCAATGCCGGAATAAATTCTATAGCCCATTCTCCTCTTTGTACTAAAATAATTAGCCAAAGCATTATATACCCATCTTCTGCTTAAGTGAGACTATATAAAAGGTCAGATAGAGCCAAACAATCTTAAGATTTTTTGAAGAATGAGTTCTAGCTCTGATGATGTCCATCATATGATGGACGAAAGCTCAACACGTTTTCACCTCAAACCAAGGAGGAAGTCTCATGGACTGCGTCAACATGAATATCGTATAAAAGCCAAACGAGATTTCTCCGTTCTCATCTGGTGAGATATACCAACAAATCTCTTCTTCATGCACTTTCATACGAAATGAAAGTCCCCCAACAATGATATCTCAGAAGATTCATCGAAACCCAGTACTCTTCGTATCTAAAATAGTTGTGTATTTCCCTAAATCGCCTAAAGACTCAAGTTCTTAGTAAAGAAAATCGGCAATAATATACCATTTCCTCTTCATTTCTACAAATAGTTGGCATTTTACAACGAAAAGCTGTCTCAAAGCATCGTTCTAAAGCCAGCGCGTGTAGCATTCAGCCGACTTTCGCCGCGAGAATGTGCATTATCCACCATACAACAGCACCAAATGAGCCAACTTCATACAAATCGCCGAACAGCTTCTGTTGAGCATCGATTAAATTTAGTTTGACACAAGTTTGAGTGCCTCTCACAAGCGCAACGGGACGGCGACCGGCGAAAAGGAGGCCGCTTGAGCAAGTGTGAGTTCTGCTGATCATGAGGACTGGAGGACTTGACGATACCATTTACTCTTTCTTAGTCGTTCCGGGTCGTTCGAGTAAAGTAGCGTCCCGTTACCCCCTCGAAACACACGCA